AAACAATGAAAGGTCATCCCACCCATTTTTTCCTGGATCCTCAGCTTTTTTCCCAAAAACATAGAAATAAAGACAAAAACAATATGGTATGGAACAAGCTTAATGTCTCATGAGTTTAAAAATGGAAAACTTGGGTGTGCACTTTAAGAAATTGATGGCCCCTGGAAAATCACCCATGTAGAATAAATTATATAGTGTGTTTAGAGCCAGGTGCCTCCGAAAGCTTGTTTCTCCTTTTGGAAAACACTTTATTGTAATTAGTGGAGCTGGTTTTATTCTTAAGAGGGTAAAAGGTAATAGGGGAAAAACAGAGCCATATGTTATTAATGATCTAATTAGTGGAGTTTGGTGGGGGTTTTTTGGAAGGAGGGACTAAAAACAAAGATGATTGTCAGAATGTCTGTCTTTTATTTTTTTATTGTCATTCTCCATGTGGGTGATGGATGCTTTCTCTAATATTTAATAATCAACCTGTTTCTTCTGTCTCTTGCATTCAGCTCATTCTCTTTCCTATTCTATCTGATCCACATCATTTCACATCAGTTTGTCATCTGCCATCCGAGCACCAGTCAAGTTCTGGTATAGTAAATGTTTCAAGATCTACATTTCATGTACAATTCATGTTGTGGATATTACGGAAATGATTGTGACTCAATATAGCAGGTAACCATGTTGGCCTGTGGGTTCTGGATATGTTCTGATCATTGCAATTACCAAAAGAATTGCAAAAAAAAGTCATTCCTTCATACTCAGTTATTATTCATGTGTGACCATGGGATCGGTTTTATTTTATGCCTTCAGTATGTTGGCCTGTGGCTTTGGATATTCTAATAACCATTAACATTAAAAAAAAAAATAGAAGGCCTCACCCTCAAGGGGAGGGTAAATGTCTGTGGAAATTCCACAACAGCACTTTGTGTGAGTATGCGTGTGTGTGTGTGTGTGTGTGTTCACACGCGTGTGCGCACTTGCGAGTATTTCTGCATGTAGAAACTGCATGCATTTATTTTTCCCTGAGAACTTTGTCCAAAATGGGAGAATATGGGGAGAAATGGAAGAGCAAAACGTGGTGGGTTGGAAGGTCGTGTTATATTTTTTATTTTAATTGGCTCAAACTATGTACTGAAAAGATCTACATTGTGTTTTGCTATTCTACCCTTTGAAGTAGTCATGGTAAGATGCAAGTTTAAAAAAAAACTATGCCGGCTAAACTAAAAATTGTTCTATAATAATATTTACCTTATGGTATAATTTGTGGCTGCACTGCCTCAAAATGAATTAAATGCTCTCTAAGTAACTCCAGTAACTGTACATTGGAAAACAAATTTGTTACCATTTAAATTTTTTCCTGACTGAATTTCTCTTGAGTTAGGAAATTTTCTCTTGAATGTTTTACAAGTCTCAAGCAGGCCAAACACTGAGAATTTCTGTATTAAAATATTCATTGATATTTGGAATCCTTTTTTGCAACATAGATGTATTGTAAATCTGGTAAGTGGCTTGACCTGCTTTGACATTGACTAGCAGAAATTTGAGGAGCGTGAAATTCTTCGTGAGGGTTCTGATGATCTGATTTAGCTAAATCATTAGGATTTTCCTTTTATGTTCAAACAGCCATGACTAACGAGGGCTCGTCACTGAGAAATATTTACCAAAATGATAAGACACACAGGCGTCTTGATCCGATGTCCCATGTGTAGGGTAATTAACCAAACTAAGGGCTCCTAGGTTACCAGTAAGACCATTATAATTTTTATGTTTGTTGCACGTGCTCCTTTTTATTTTTCAAAGTTATGAAGACATTATCGTAACTTTAAAAAGTTTAAAAAATATGGTGGTAGAGGGGAAGGTGGGAAGACTCACCCTTATTAACATTATTTATTTATTTATTTATT